CATCCATCCATCCATCCATCCATCCATCCATCCATCCTGCTATTGATAAATTGTTAATAAATATTCCATTAAATAAATATCCCCATGAAATAAAAACAATGTTACAATATTTTTTATCTTATTTCATTATATCATATTTAATGTTTTTTTATTCCATCAAAGATTTATTATTTATTGTATTTACTTACAGTATTTAATAATGGAGTAATATTTTATGACAATTGTAACGTTACTTTATGTATTATTAAGTGACTTATTTTTAACTCTGTTTTTCATTTTAAGCTCCTTTATTTCATGTTCTAATATTCAAATTAGGAGGCGGTGTTTTATTATTAGGGCGGTGCTGGTTAGGAATTGTGGAATGCATCTGCTTTGAAGCTTCTGAATTATTCCATTTATGATGACAAATCAAATCAGAATAGTCCCTCACGCTGAGCTGTGTTGAGTATGATCTGTGCCTTATCAAGGTCCCCATAAATAATCTAATTATGGTACTAAAAGTAGTTATTTCAATCCTTGAATATTAAAAGAATGTTTAACTACATAAAATAATACTCCATTGTTGCTTAAATACATAAATAAAAATAAAAGTAAATACATAATAAAATAAATAAACTACATAATTTATAAATCTTTGAATAAAAATCTGAAAATTTTATAAAATGAAATAAAAATTACTCTAACGCATTAAATTTTCTTTCATGGGGATGTTCATTTATTTAATGGAATATCTATTGACAATTTATCAATAGCAGTATTTATTCTATTATGAATGAAATGGCTCTCTATACACCATTTAACTTTATGTTCACTTTTATTAACACTTTTTTAGTCTCTTCACACTTTATTTACATTCTTTTACACTCTTGAAATATTTGGCAAGTCATTGCTGCAAAAAAGGCTTATTTAGGAAATTTATTTTAAAAAGCATTGCAGCAGTACAAGTCAACGTTAAAATGGATGTGAATGTAACAATATTTCAATCTGAAAAACTCACAGAGAGAGAAAGATGCAATTAGAAGAGTTTATTGATACAATAGTTTGAACTTTGGCGCTCAGGCCTCGGCA